AAAGCTAAATCTTTCTACAGCCCGTAGCCTCTGCTCTAGCATGCTAATCTTGGAACTTTCCTCAGCCTCTACTCTCATCTTTTCCTTTTCCTTTTCCTTCTCTTTTAAATCATCTAGATCAGGAATTGGTTCTACTACTTTTTCAGTGAATACAGGATTTATATAGCTATTATACTGCCATGGGTTGAAAGCTGATGGCATTCCAGGATAGGCGAAATGTTGTGGCAGGACCTCTTGGGTAGACTGGGCTTGAGGTGGGCCAAAACCTGTAGGGTACAAAGGGTCAGCTACTTCTTGCTGGCTTGTACTTCCTTCAACTCCTTTTCCTTTATTCATATTATTGAGGGCTTCCAGAATCTTGCTTAGTTCACTTTCAATCTTTTCCTAAGCTTTTTCTAGCTTTTCAAATCTATGAGAACTTTCTTCTTCCATTTGCCTTGCTCTGGATCTTGTGTTGTATGGATGAGCAGGGTTTTTGCTAGATGGAGCTATCCTCGGACCTTGAGTACCATACTTATGATTAGAAAGGTTATGCTGTGCTTTATGTATGATGCTTTGATACACAAATGAAATGTACATTTTTTGAATGAAATCTAGTATGAAATGAATGCAAATGATTGTGTTGAAACATGATCATGAAAAGAATACAGATGCATACAATCAGACAAACAACATAGTTAGTTCCGTGGATGAAACATAAGTGATGTTGATGCATAATGTCACATATGATAAAAATAATACACAAAGTTAAACAATCAAAATGATTAGACAAACACTCTTTTTGTGTTCTAATTTCAGGGTATATCTATCATTGGGTAGAAAGGGCTCTATCTTAGGTGTAGGCACTCTTAAGGTTCACTACATGCGATTTTAAGGTCAAAGTCTAAAGGTTCTCAAATTGCTCCTTACATTCCTGTCCATCACAGACTAGTAAGGCACCCTAATCCTCACCCATTACAGGCTACAAGCGGAAAAGGTTCAATTTGAGTGGGAGTATTTCGCTAGCCACTGCGGAGGCATTAGACCTCACGAAAGCAATAGGTACTTTACTCCCTCCTAGAGGGACGGAGCTCGGGTGTAGAGCTCATGTTATGCACATGCACATGAATGACATAATTAACAAAGTAAATAAACATGAATAAGTAATAATACATATATACAAAAGGGTTCAATTTTATTAGGCTTTTGGATAACACAAATTATTTACTGGCCTGACTCTCAAAGTCCCCAGCGGAGTCGCCAAGCTGTCGTAACGTCTAGATCCGGGGATCTATCGCTAGACATTGACTTCAGGGAGTCGCCACCAATCTTTTTTATCTATGTGCGATTGGCCACCTATGGAATCTGTCCTTTTAGGGAACACCTAAGTTTAAGGGTCCCTAGAAGAATAGGTTCAGGTCTACAAACCAGAACAAGGTTCGGGAGTTCGGTTACGTGTGAGGAAGATTATAGCACCCTCACAACGCCCATCAAAAGATGGTACCAGCTGAAATTTGTGTTATCTAAAAGCCTTAAAATTTTATCAAGTAATTAATTATTGAAAATTTTTCTCAATTGACTCTAATACTTTTAGCAAAAAATTGAGAAAATTCCCTCACCTCAAGAATATGCAAGAAAAACTATTGTTTCACTTGCAGAGGCTCCGTCGTCGGATTATTTAAAGAAAAAAAAAACAAAATCAAAATTAAGATAGAAAGGAAGGAAAGAATGAATTTTTTTGTAAGGAAAATTGATACTTTCAACTTTTCCCCAAAAATATTTTTTGGAAATTTCGATTTTCAAGGAAAATTGATACTTTCAACTTTTCCTCAAAAACCTTTTTTTTGAAAATTTATTTCTAAGGAAAATTGATACTTTCAACTTTTTCCCAAAAATATTTTTTTTGAAATTTTGATTTTCAAGGAAAATTGATACTTTCAACTTTTCCTCAAAAACTCTTTTTTTGAAAATTTATTTCTAAGAAAAATTGATACTTTCAACTTTTCCTCAAAAACTTTTTTTTTTTGAAAATTTATTTCTAAGGAAAATTGATACTTTCAACTTTTTTCCAAAAATATTTTTTTTGGAAATTTATTTTTAAGGAAAATTGATACTTTCAACTTTTCCCCAAAAATATTTTTTTGAAAATTTATTTCTAAGGAAAATTGATACTTTCAACTTTTCCTCAAAAACCCTTTTTTTTTTGAAACTTTGATTTCCAAGGAAAATTGATACTTTCAACTTTTCCTCAAAAACCCTTTTTGAAATTTATTTTTAAGGAAAATTGATACTTTCAACTTTTCCCTAAAAATATTTTTTTTTGGAATTTTTCATTTTTATTTAAAGAAAATAGAATAATAAAAAGATAAATAAAAATAAAAATAAATAAAGAAAAGTAAAACAGAAATAAAAAATAAAATAAAGATAAAAAGAATATTAGATAAACCTAATCTAATAAATAAATAAATAAAAAAAAACCTGGAGCGGCTCGGCTATCGGCTCGACTCAAGGCAGGGAAACGGCTCGGGGGAGCGGCTTGGCAGCTTGGCGCGGCTCGGCTCGGCTCGGAGGAGGGGCAGCACGCGCGGGTCAGGAAAGCGGATTGACGCTCGGGTCGGGTCGGGTTCGGAAAAATGCGCGGATCTTTTGGTTACTTAAGGCCAAAACGACGTCGTTTTGAGAGGGTATAGAAGGCAATCCCCTTCGTTTTTTCGGCAGAACGCTCCTCCCTCTCTCTCTTCTTCCCTTTTCCTCTCCTTTCTTTCTAAAAACTGAAGAACACCGATGCCGGATTTTGGAAAATGTCGTCAAAATCTGGAAACTTCGTTGGACGTTGGCCGGAAGATCGCCGATTTCTGGGATTCTTCGCTGGAAACTGGGCTGGTCACCGGAAACTTCAATGTTCGCTGGAATTGTTGTCGAAAAATTCAATTTTCGTCGGAATCTAGAAATTTCCCAGAAATTTTCAGAAAAATTTTTCGCCAAAAATCTCTAAAAATTTTTTCTCACTCCCAGAACACTCCTAAACTTTTCCTAGCTTCCTATACGCCTCCTTTTCTCTCAAATCAATAGCTTTGCTTACTGTTTTTTGTGTCTTTCATTCTGTTCCAGGAGGTGCTTTATATAGGGATTGATCAGGAGTTTCTGATCAATCCTAATTCTCCTTTGGACGGGAATTCAATCTTTGAATCCAGTCTGGACTCTTCTAATTGAATTCACATTCCCAGTGGGATTCTTCAACTTTCAATCCCAGCCCTCCAAAATCAAATAAATAAAAAAATAGATAATTTAGAAAAAAATAACAATCAGATAATCAAAAGAGAATCAGATAAAATTAACAGATAATTTAAAAAAATAAAATAAGATAAACCCAAAAATATATTAAAATAATAATAATAATAATAATAATAATAAATAATAATAATAATATAATAATATATAACTATATACATATAAATATATTCTAAATAAAAATAAATAAATACAGATATACAAAAAAAAAAAGAGAAAAAAAAATACAGGATAAAAATTCAATTGAACCTTACCCATTTGAGCCAGGCCCAATTGATCTGGGCCTAGACCCAATTGATCTGGGCCTAGACTCAATTGGGTGTCTACAATAACTTCATAAAACGTAAATTTTAAAAAATAAGGATAAAAAGGGGAGGGGGGAAGAGATATGGTCCAATTTATCGGGGATGAGATGGCAAAGAATCAAGGTTTTTCCAAAATTATGATGGTGCTAATTTAGAAAACCAAAGTAAGCAGGATTAATTAAACTCTTTTGATGATGGGAATACCACGTGTGAACGAAAAGCATGAAAGGTGGGAAAGACGCACATGCAAACCGATTTTATGTGATGAAAGAAGAATTCAATTAACTAATTAGCTATATAGATTTTTTATTAAAAAAAAAAAAAAAAGAAGCTATATAGATTTTTCCTCCTTTTTTTTTTGGGGGGGGGGGGTAAAAAGGACGTAATGATAGAGTTTATGAACAATCTAATGTTATACAGTAAAAACAGTAGGAGCAATTATCATACCGAATTTGGTTTTCTTACGATTTGTGTCTCTTTATTAAGGAGTATTGTTTATTATACTTCCTCTATCCACCCTTTTTTTTATTTTTTAAAATATCCCAGAATTATGTCTATTTTTTTAAATATCTAAATTTTTATCTTTTATATTTTTAAATTATTTTATTTTTTGATATTAAAATTCCTAAAATTTTAATATTAAATACATTAAAATCAATTTTTTAAAATTCCGTAAAAATTAATATATAACAAATAATATGAGAGGGAAGGAATAGTTCTTAAAAGGGTAAGAAATAGAAATTTTAGAATGCCCTTAAACCTCATTTTAACCAAAAAATATATATAAATATATATTTCTCATCCCTAACTTAGCCTAACTTGGTAATTTGATAAAAATATATATTTGATATATAATAAAAATTTTTAATTTTACAAACAAAATTAATATAATAACACATGTTTCATTTTTTTTAATTAATTTTTTTATTTTTAAATATATTCTAAGACATTGTAAAATTAAAAAAATTACATTATTAGCATATTTGATAATTTCTCATTTAATAAATTAAAAGAAATTTTTTTTTCTTTTCTCCGCTTCTGTAACATGTGGCATGCATTTTAGAGTTTTTTTTTTTTTTAAATAAAAATTAACTTTATACAAAGTTTAACAGAGCAATTATCTTTCAATATCTATACATAAAAACTAGGTCGTCAATTGGAAATGCCACGACCACAACAAGAATGAATGAAAAAATGTCGAGGCGCAGGCAATATTCTATGAATCATACAAACATTCTTGATCAAAATTGACATATTTTTACACCCAAACATTTTAATCAACAATGATGTACATAACCCTCTCAAAAGAATAAGATTCAAATCCCCCTTCCTCCATAAAAGAGTCTCAAATATTAAAAAAAAAAAATACATATTATTAAATAATAATAATAACAATAACATTGGCTGAGGAAAAAAAATTTCCCCAAAAAACTCTCTATTCTTTTTCTTCCAATTTATTAACCACAAGTACAAGCCTAGACAGCAGAAATTACATGTGTGGCAATAAACTGACTTATATAAATAAGAAAAATAAAATTTTTTAACGTACAGAAAAGTGAGGTGTGATATAAGAAATAGAGTGATTACGTATTTTCATACTTAAAATTGAAAAAGATGGTTACTCACCTTTAGCTTTTATGCATGTTAAGATCCCCCCATTCATTCGAACCTACATCTATTCATTCACCGCCTAGATCCCCAGGTTAAAGCCCTCACGAGGTTTTTCTCCTCTCCACGACCTACATTTGTTAAATGTGAAGCTTGCTTTGACCTAAACACTCCCCGTAAATAGATCTTCTCCTGGAACCTTGCAAATGAATTAAATGATTAAATACTTATCATTAACCCAAATCCAATTAATCTAACTCCGTGCCAATTGGCATCCGCATATCCAACTTATGTTCATTAAACAAAACATGAAGCAATGTATATCTAGACTCACTCCAAAAGTGCAGTGGCAAAATGTTAGAAGTGTAAACTAACAGTTCTACACTTGAACCACAGCTCTCATGCCAAGAATTCAGCCAATCATCTTATCTGCTAGACTGTCAAAAATCTTAGTCTCCCTGTAAAAGTGGAAAAAAAAAAAAAAAAAAGGTACAAAGTCAGGAACACAGACAACAACTATTATGTAAAATTCAAATGAGTATCACCTGTCATTTGGAAAGAAATAAAGAGCAATACTTTTTTCACTTGGCCCCCATTTCTTAAAGCCTTTCGGCCACACATCACATATTGGAAGCAATTTTAGGCAAAGCAATTGAGGTAAGCATTTTGCTGTCTCACAAACTTTCAAGCATGCTACACTAGAAAAATGGGCTATAACTCCAACAGTAAGATTTTCTTCATAGAGATGGAAACTTCCCCTGTCAACAATCATTTGGGCTCATGAGCTTTTCTACCAACTAATTATGAGCATAAACATTAAAAAGGAAACAAAAATCTCACCTCCGTACTGGTTCAAATATTGGCTGTGCAGGTATATAACTGTGTTTTGGGATTTGGTTGCTGATAGCCACAAGAGTTGTTTTAGTATTAACACATTCATCCGCTTCATCAGAATATACCCCATCCAGTTCCCTCCACCCAGGGTCCAAAAAGTAATGCTCTATGATGTTTAAATGCTCATTGATGGCTACAAGAGGTGTTCTATTATAGACAGATTCAGCTCCCTTATCAATGTTAATCCAATCTGATCCTCTGGAATGTGTACAAGTGTGTGAAGGAGGAATTTGAGGTTCAATATGTCTGGTTAGAGCTTGGCCCAACCACTCCCAATGATCTTGATTGAAAGCTGGTCACAGGAAGAGCATGCTGGAGAGTAGATGATTTCGCAACCTTTGGTTCACAGTCTGCAGAAAAACCAACAACATGCTCCTCAAAAGTTGCTGGAAGCAAGGGGCTACTTTGTCTTTGGACCTTTGATATAACCAATGACCCATTGTCACATTTGCTCTGTCTTATTCTTCTTCATCCTTTTGATGTCATTCTTCCCCTTTGATTCTCTAACAGAATTGCCCTTCTTCAATCTTGATTGAAAGCCAGTCACAGGGAGAGCCTGCTGGAGAGTAAATGGTTCTGCAACCTTTGGTTCACAGTCCATACAAAACCAAACAACATGCTCTTCAAAAGTTTCTGGTAATTTATATAAGCAATAACTGGATGAGGAAAAATAATCATAAAAGCAAAAATTAGTGGAAACATATATAAAAGAATCAAAGGCTTAATCAGGAATCAACTTACTGAAGCAAATTAACAAATTGATAAATGGTGCAATATGAATCTAACTTAAGGTTTTGGCAATGAGTTTCCATTGTGATGTGACTACAATATTTTCAACTCATCCATCTTTACAACAATTCTAAATAGTAAATCTCTGCCGTCAACACTAACAAGATAAATAAATAAAAGATTTAAAGTCCATTTGGTGATCCTAAAACAAGTATGTTATTTATCAGACAATGGCTATGTTGTCATATACCGATGTACAGCATAAGCCTGATACTTATCACAGTAAATCAATGCCACGGAGAAGCCCCTGTCACCACACGTCTGACATTCAGTCACCTGCAATAACAAAATGCAAATTGTTACTGCAGTGCCAAAATTATTCAGCATAAAACTCTACTTCAAGAATCAAAAACAGTAGATTAATCTACATCACAGATGCTAAATCCATTATGAGAAGGACAAAATGATGTCGAATGACAAACATTATAAATTCAGACAACGGAGATGAATAAAAGTAACATTTCAGAACAGCAGATTTAGATTCCACTCTAGTTAACAATGCAAAACCTGCTTTGCTTAGATGAAGGACAAACAAATTTTAAGTCACCAAAATTTGCCCTTACTTTAAAAAAAAAAAAAATTACTTACAATTGAGCAGAATCACAACACTGAAGAAAAAAGGCAAGCAAATGTAAATTCATCAAATCTTTCAATCATTAAACGAAATTTTGTTAGACTCAACAAAAAAAGGAAACAATTTAAAAAAAACAATAAAGAAATTACCCATCATGAAATTATGGTCTCCATGCAATAAACAACAAAATAAAATCTTAAGTCATCTATAAACTGCGGCATTTTAGAAGTTGAATAGATCATAACAGCATCAATGATATATATTCATAACAGACAGACATCAGAGTAATAATATTCAAAATTAATATGAGCAAATGTCCTGAGGTGCGAAAATAAACTCCAATATGACCATGAATTCAGAGGAACCTTAACAGATTAAGGTTCTATTCTAAATTCAAATCTAGATGCTAATGGTTAGGTGGATAAAAAAGATGGGAAAGGATTATCTTACATGGTGTATTGTTGCTACTTAATCAATCATAAACAAGCAAAATACCAAGATAATCATTTAACAAAAGCATTAGTTATCCTCACATTATATGCGTCTTATTAATTGTTTGAAATGCATTATTTTTATGGGAAGCAATCCTTGTTTCTAAAAGTAATTATTTTCTCTATAATCTCTATCTTACATTTTTTTTAAACTCAATGTAACAATTTGATTAAAATGAATTTATTCAAAACCTTTAAAATAGAGCCAAGTCTTTTCCAGTCAAATTTTTTCACTCATTTATAGTAATTCAACATTTTTTTTTTATAGAAAATCGTATTTGGTCATAGAGAGTTTTTTTTTTCCCCTTTCCTCCTTCTAATAAGTAGTATAAAATTACTTGAGTGGTTTAAAAGTCCTATAACCTTTTTATTATATAATTTTATTCCATTTTTTGGCATCTTTACCCTGTGCATAGCATGGATATGGAAAAGGCAATAGGAAGCAAAAATAAAATTGCAGATGCAATGCTCTGGGAAAGGCAAATATTTACCCAAAATTTCAAGCCCAAGTCAATCACATTTAAGATGAAATACTCCAAGCAACAACAAATAAATAACATGTGAAAGGGCAGGAAGAGACACAATCTACATAAAATGACCAAAGGTAGATTACTAGAGGGAAAATGTGGTTTGACAGATCTTTTTCCTTTTCAACAGAAATGCTTACAAAAATTACAGGCAGAATATAGCAAATAATAACCAATGTTGAGAGGGATGGGGATTATTGAATTGGGATTGAGAAAGGCAAACAAATGTTTTAAGGAGCAATAAGATGACAAATAGTAAAAAGTAGATTGGCAAATTGATGGACAAATAGACAGACAGATAAACAAGCAGAGAGAGAGAGAGAGAAAGAGAGTCACAAAGCAATAATCAATATTTTACCAATGTCATAATGCATATTCCTGATATGACCATGGGCAGTCTATTCAACATCATCCAAGTGTCACTTGCGGATATAAATAAAAGAAATTCTGATTATTATGAGGAATATATAGAAAACTTTGCATTACTTTCAACAGCCAATCCCTGAAGGATGCAATTATCTAGAATTTGAATTTGACTTCGAACTAGTTAAACACAGAGTTTCTGAGAACGCATTCAATCACCTTTAGCAAGATTCAAGTTGGAGAGGCAAATCATACCACCCAACTCATGTTCCAAAGTGCTTCGAAAGACAAGAAATTTATGAAACACATAGCCTAGACAACGAAAAGTGATTTCAAAGGCCCTATGCCAATATTGCTACCACAGTTCCAGTTTAACCAACATTAAATCACACTCATAAAACACAATAAGGAAATCCACAACATATCTAACTTACCATCCTGTCCTTACTCAAAGAAATCGTAACAAACTAGAACTAGAGTTTTCTGTCAACTAAAAAACCATTAGCACTAGCATTTTTACCATTAAAGAACATTAAAAGATTCTTTCACCCCAAATATTGTCCTAAAACCGTTCTTTCCTCTAAATCCAAAAACCCACAACTCGTCTCAATCCTTATTGGTCAATACCCAGCCAACAATTCTAGGTAAAAAACTATCAAAAAAGAAAATTACGACAAAACCCATCATCATTTCATTCAAAAACAACTAAATATCTTCAGCCATTCGTCAAAACTGTATAAAAAAAATCACAAAAATAAAGATACAAAAAGAAAAGCAAAGCAGAAAGCTTTCTTTAAATAAAGCAAAAAATAACGAAAGAAAAGAAAAACTCACCATAATGGAAATGAATTGAATGAGACGCCATAATACCTTTGAGTTGAGCGGAGGAAGTGAACAAAAAACAGATAAATCAGGGCCAAATGAAATGAACTCATTAGGGTTTTTAAAGAAAAAAGAGAAAATGTTTTCTTTAAAAAAAACCAAAATTATTACCGAAAATGAAACTAAAGGGTAAAAAAAAAACAGAAGACGGTCTTTTTTCAGTTCAGTTTGGTCGTCAGTTTTGGGTTTTTTTTTCTCTTTTTGTCAGTTTTGTTTTCCTTCTTGAATGCTACCGTAATTTGGGAAAATAAAAAGAGGCAAAATTTTTTGAAGAGTCGAGGGACACGTGGACCAATTAGGGAATAGCATGGACAGGTACGGCTGAACGAGCAGTGCCGGGCTTGGTAATGAAATGTTATTTCGCGCCAATGCTCTGTGGCGTGTTTGGATGATTAAAGAGTTTTGCAGACAACAATAACTTAGTTTTCAATTTTGGAGAAAAAAAACATTTTACTTTTAAATGTTGAGATATAATTTTAGGGAAAATTGTCATATTTTTTCAAGAATCATACTTTTCCGATTGCAAATTGTTTATCCCTCTTTGATTCTTAAAAAATGTTTAAAAACTTCTATTTTAATGTATTAATTTTTTATAAAATTAATGTTTTATGATGTTAACGTCAAAAATTAAAAAAATAAAAATTTTAGATTTTCAACATACATATTTCATTATCATAATCAATTTGATCAAAAAATTTTAAAATTATTAAAAAAACTCACTAAATATGCACCGTATCATATATATATATATATATATATATTAAAAAAACTTTCAAAATCAATGTGAGTCATCATGGTATCTAGCTTATGGACTTGTTAATATGTTCTTAAAGAGTAAGAAGTCAACAAATATTTTAAGTGTAATACCCCTTCCAAAATCTTTGCTATGTTATTTTATTTTTTTGTATAAAAATTATATTATATGATATTTTACTTTTATTGTTTTATTTTGGTATATTAAGAGATGAAATTTTTTGAGGGACTAAATTGTATAAATTTATTTTGGTAATGACTAATTTGAATAATAAAACTTTTAAAGGGTCAATCTAATTTTCAAAAATTGATTTGATATATATATATATATATATTATCTTAAAAGCCTTAAAAAAAGAAAAACACAAAAAAAAAATAAACGAGGAGTTGATGCCATTTCCAATGGAGATTTCAAGCCTTAAGGCTTTAAATTTTGCAAAATATGGTAAGAAAATACAATCCTTTCAAACTTTTTAATTTTGTACAATTTTCCTATAAACTTAAAACTTAGTTTTAATCTTTTTAATTTTTTCATCAATCTTTCGATGGTTTTCTAATGGCATATTTGGTACTCATGAAAAGGTCTTTTTTAGACCCTTTTCAATGGACTTTGTAACTTCTTATTTGGTTGCGTATTTTAAAAGTTATGAATTTTTTAAGTTGAAAAAAAATGTATTTAATAATTTGGTAGTCCAATTTTGGGTCATTGGAGCTTCATTTTTTGATAACCTTTTTGGTCGTTTCTTTGAAGGTGTTTGTAGTATGAAATGTGAATTTAATTTTGGTATAAGTGGCTCGATCAGGGAGTCTTTGTGCTAAAAGAGACAAAACTCTAAAAATAACCAAAGAACTCTAAAACCTAGAAATTTTATGCATTTTTGTGATATTTTTTAAATTTTAGGCATTTGAAATTTATGATTTCTAGGTCTTTTTAAGTGAAACAAAATTTTAAATTGTAGTATTACATGTGAACTTTGAATTAGTATTAATTTGACCTTTGGATTTGATATAATATATTATATACAAGTACTCATAGTAGAATAAATGACTAAAAATCCAGAATTCTCAACAACTTATAAAAATTATTTTTAAATTATTTAGAAATATATTTTTACCTAAAATTGACTAATTTGTTACAAAGAGTATAAATTTTGATTAAATAAGTTTTATTCAATTTTTAGTGAATTAATATATACTGCAAATTTATCTTTGAGTTGTCAATTTATAAAAAAATTTCAATTTATCTTAGGAAGTTTTACAAAGTTAAATTTAAAATAATGTCATGATTTATCTCATCCAAATCTATGTTCGATACTGATTTTGAGTTTTAGGCTATTATTTCAAATTTTAGGTATTTTAGTATCCATTCAAAATCATAAAATAAAATTCTTTTTATTTAAAAAATATTTTTAGAATAAATTTTAATTAATGACAAAGGTTGCTACACCTTAAATACCCTAGAATGTATACCAGAAAAAGCTATGTCATTATTTGGATAATAGATAAGTTTTGGTTTATGACTCCAAATATTGTTGGATTAATAGGTTATTAGTGATTCTGAATGTTTTATTCTTTGGCTTTAGTTTTTAGCAAGTTCTGGTAAGTAACTTAAGGTCTTTTTCGGTTTTATGTTTCTAAAAATCAGCCTCAATATGTTTAGAGTTATATATGTGTGTATATATATATATATATAATAGCTATATATGTATATATATAATGTATATTATTTTGTCTATTTGATTTGTACATTAAGTTGAGCATGCAAAATGTATATATGATTTCTTTGTTATGAGTGTGAAATATGGTTTGATATTATTTTGATTTTTGAATATGATTTTGTAATAATATATTTATTTATCCATCAATTGTCGGAATATGAAATTTTGCTTTGCAATGATTATGGACTTTATTTTGTATGGATTATGTTTGGAGAAAGTATATAAATATTGAATTTGTACATGTTGAGTAATCTGAAAATATATTTTAGTTTTTGTCTTCTAGTATGACTATGTTTTGACCCTACCAATGATGGTTAATTATTGGTCATGTAGATATGTACTTTTGTGATATCAATACTAATTTCGAACTATGCCACAGGTTGAGAATAATGATTTTTGTTCACTATGCCACTGGTGATATACTTTTACCCTATTGCACTAAAAGGGTTACTATAACATACCTCTATCCCACTGCATTAAAGGGGTTATTTTGATTTTTATTCTATCCCATTACACTAATGGGTTAATTATTATTGTCTATGCAATGATTTAGTTGCTTATGATATACTTCTGCCCATTGCACTACAAGGGTAATTTTGATTCTAACTTATGCCACAGAGGTTAAGTGTGGTCATAATATGTTACGAGATATAAATAAAATTTCTAATTTTGTGATATTTGATTCCATTTTATGATTTAAGAATTTGGTTTTAAGAATATGGTTTGTGAAAATATGTTTGTGAATAAAAGATTACCTATATTTTTAAATCATTTAGTTAATGTTTTCACTTAAATGTTTTATGGCATGCTCAATCCAATTGAAGGGACATCGGTTACTTGTCGAGTCATCAGACTCAATCCTTTAATTTTTCTTACATTTAGATTTTGATATTTGCATTTTCGGACTTAGCTTTGACAAGTAATTATGTTGCAAGACTTCATCTATCCTTTGTCATCATATAGCTTGTAATGTAAATACTTTGATACAATAAAATTACAATATTATTGTATATTTTTATCAAGTGTAACACATGAATTTTAGAGACTTGATTTTGTAAATTATAAATTATAAATTTTGAAGAATTTTTAAAGTTTGATTTTGAATTAGTATGCTAGTTTAGAGTTTGATTAGTATGATATCTATTGTCTTACATGCTTGTGAGATTTTTCATATAAGTATGCAGCGTAATAATATACTTCTTTGAGGCCATATAAGGATTTTCGAAGCTTACACACCTACTGATGTTGTCCTGGGTGTCTAACCCTAGAGGAATCTTTATGTAAACCTTTTTTTTTAGATCAACATTTAGAAAAACATTTTTGATATTGAATTGGTGAAGAGGCCAATCTAGATTAGCAACAAGTGATAGTAACACAGATAGAATTCAGTTTTGCTACAAGGGCAAACATTTCCTTATAATCAATTTCGTAAAATTGAGTGAACCCCTTAGTCATAAGACAAGCTTTGAATCTATTCACACTTTCGTTTGTATTGTGTTTGATAATAAAAATCTACCTACATCTCACTAGGTTCTTTTATCCAAAAAGATAAATAATGTTTTATGTGCCATTTTTCTCTAGTGCTTGCATTTCTTACATTACCTAACCTTCCACTTTGGTTGTTCGAACACTTCTTGGATGGTATTCAATATATGAATATCAGTTAATGATGTCACAAGTGCTCGGTAAGTAAGAAACAACCTTTTATAAGAAATAAAATTACTAATAAAGTGCTGAGTACATGATCTCACACCTTTTCTTACAACAATAAGCTAATCAAGATCAATTGAAAAATCATCAAAAATAGGTTAAATAATTGTGTTACTTGTTTGAATTTAAAAAATCCCTAGTTTGGTTCAAAATCTTGATTTTATGTTAAAGATGCATAGGTCCTTATCTCTTTTTAAGAATTCGGTCTTCTTAAGCATATAATCATTTCTTTAGCTTTTGTCTTTTATGTAGTTTCAAAAGATTTTGGAGACTTAGGATGACTAATTGACTCAAAAGAAGAAGATGAATTATTTAAAATGGGAATTTGAATTAGCAGATGAATTGAGGAAGAATCAGATGATGTCCTAATCTTTCAAAGTTGATATTCCCTAGAACTCTTCCCCTAAATATCAATTTTAGGAGGGAACAGTTAATTCTCAAAGAAGGTGACATCCATAGAAGTGTAAAACTTTTTAGTAGTTAGTGAATAACATCTGTAGCCTTTTTGGTTTAGTGAGTAGCTAAAAATATACACCTAAGTGACATGGAGTCTAGTTTACAATGTTGTTGTTAATGTATATAAAAAAAGGTAGTACATCCGAACACTTTAATTGGTATGAAAGAAATAATTTAGACATGAAGGTAGGTTTTGAGAAGTGTATAACATGAGGTTTGGAATTTTAATGCTCGATAAGGCATCCTATTGATAAGAAAGGCTACTGTCAGGATTACCTTTTTTCAAAAATGTTTTGGGACATAAGAGTCTAGCATAATAGATCTTACAACTTCTATCAGGTGTCTATTTTTCTATTTGTAACTTTGTTTTGTTGAAGAGTTTCAATGCATAAGCTCTAATGAAACAATTTTTTTATCTAACAAGATCCAAGGGTTGAATGATAGTATTCTAGCCTATTATCTATTCTAACCATTTGAATTTTTGCTTGAAATTTAGTTTGCACCATTTTGTTGAAATTTTGAAATATTGAACTAACTTCTAACTTGTCTTTCATAAGCAACACCCATGTAACTATGGTGTGATCATTGATGAAGGTAATAAACCATCTAGAACAATGTCGGATGATAGAAGCGAAGGCTAAAGGTGGGTGTAGTAAGGGAAAAGCAAAATCGAGCATCATAATAGCACTTCT